AACTTGTCAGGCTATAATTGATTTTGATCTTCTTACTATTTCACTGAATATTAAACACGAAACGATGTGATTCCTCGACAGACGATATCAAATGATTTGCGTATAAACCGAATGTAACATTCTTTCGTACTGTTTTGTCAAATTGTTGTTTACTGCTTCTTCGTTGATAAGATGCTATTTTTGTTAAAGCTGAGAATTCTGATAGCTGTTTTGATGATGTAGAGGTAACACCGTGCGATCCTAAGCATTTTATCATTGCGGCGTTTACTATATTATCAGGTACAATGTCAAATAATTTATCTATAATCTATAATAATCTATACTTTTTCTCACTAGCTTCGGAGAAGATGGCAAACACGCGATGGAGTTTGCTCACTTTCCCGAACTGAACGCTACTGATTGTCAGGCATTCCTACATCCCGTTATTACCTACTACAAGGACGGTGATCTTAAGGATGAACTGAAATTACCCGAGTCGTTAATGCTGAGATTCGACATTCCTTTGACTCTGAACCAAAACCCAGATGTGGGAAATAATAGGCTGAGAAATTTCATCAACAAACAGGTAACTATAGCGACAGCCAGAACGCTTTTTCATTTGCTTCATTCAAAGGTTTTTATGGCGGTCCCATCCTGCGCTAACTCAAACAAGTTACAGAATGTCAACTGACAATAAGCAACCTAAAAGACAACATAAACAAAAGAATCGATATATTTTGTACACGTTACTCAATTACGTTTACTCATATTATGAAACGCTATAAAAATGTTACTAAAATAATCTTGTTAAAATCGGTGGTCGTCGCGCCTCGCATGTGCGGGATACGGGTCTCGTATGAACAAAGACTTAGATTATTCTAAGAAAGATTCTCTACATGGATTCAAAAGTACATGGGACCCACTGTTTGATTCAATGGAGTTACTCTAAATTGTTTTGTTTTTTCATTTTAATTTTTACGTTGTTATGTTATTTTGTATTTGTACTGTTTTAATATCATATAATAATAATAATAATAATACATATAAAAAAAAGACTTAGATTATTGCGCAGACGAGTTCAAAATTGAACGTTTCTAAGCTGAATTAGGTAATTACGTTGGTGAACGTGCTGTATTAAAATAATCACAAACGGCAATTGGTGCACATCGCGTCCATGTTAAAACTCGTACTGAATTGTAGAAAAAAAAAGGTTAAAAGTCGCACATACGCGACGCGACGACCACCGCCCTTTCAGATTTACTGATACGGGACTATACGATAATGATGTTATGAAATAGCGTAACAAAAATACATTTTCGGTAAAGATATTTTTCGCGTAATTTTTCAAACATTTTGATTCACTTTCGCGATATTGCAGTCAATTCGAAGCTACTTACAAGTTAGTGCCTGATTGGCTGCCCTACCCTAACACTTTAACAGATTGACCAATCAGAAAGCAGCTTACTGTAAAATGACTAATTTTCACTGGGTTTAAATTTCACTGATTTAGCATTTCAGGCATATTCAGTGGGTTTTAAATTCACGGTTTCGTCATTTAGATAATGTGTTCTATGCTAAATTTTACATATTCACTGTGTTTTAATTTAGCGCATTTTTCCAGTCAGCGAAATAAGCAAAATTAAAACCCAGTGAATAATTATCCCCTTTACAGTATTTTTGACATTTCAAATTCTGTCCTGAAAATACGCTTCGGCTTAACTGTACAGTATTGGTGATTTGTGCCGAGATTGAGGCTCGATAAATTTTCGATGATTAAATAAATGTATTACCCGTCTCTATATACTAAACCACGATATCCTGTAATAACTCACACTGTGTACTCTCTTACAGTTGAATCTAAAGCCCGGACAACATTTGTATGAAGGATTCTTCATGGAGAAAGTGTCAGACAGAGTCACTCCCTTCACAGAGGACGAGAAAAGCAGAGTACCGGATCTTAGCGTCTTCAAGAGGTGCATTCCATTCAGCATCGACTTAAAACCAAAGCTGGCTCACTAATCTTTGAACATCAAGTCACTTAATTGCACTACGAGATCCCGCGTTATGCGTTAAAACAAGACCATTCAAACAACAGTCGTAGTGGCGTTGATTTGACAAACGCGAGACCATTTTTGTGCGTTTCCGCGTGCTATACATATCACACATCGCTGCTGTTTGATTATTATTAGTAGCAGTAGCAGTGGTAGTAACTTCTGTAATTTTTATATCCGTTGAGTAACAATGTACATGGTTGATATTTGAGAATAAATAGTGCTAAAATATACTGGTAGTTATTATTTGGTGAATGCATGTTGTCATATGTATTTGTGTTCTGAGTGAAGGAAGTACAAAAATCAGTCTCAATTATATGTCACTTGTCGCAGTGTCATCCAGTGACTTATTCTAACTCATATACTAGTACTAACGTGATCGAGTACTGCACATTCATATAATTTCAGCAATGATGGTCGGTCATCTAACCAAAACAAAACAAGATCCAATTTAGTTTTAGCGAATTAAACTCAAACACAATGTAACATAATCTTATTATGGGTATATACTTTCTGAATTAGCTAAAATAACATGCTAACTAAAAAGTGGGGCTTTTGCAGTCTTTATTTTACAGTTGAATATTGCACAATATAATGTTTTGACTCGCTCCACGCTTCCCTCTAAATTATGACAAACACTTAATAACGGGTAAATATTTTTAGTAATTTTGGGTTTCTCATTTCGATGTTTCGTGAAAATTTAGTTTCCAATGTAGCACTGGGGCAATATAATATCACAGTCTGGGATATTGTGCGAAATAGAACCTTCCCACAAAAGATCTAATTTCAACGTGGACCGTTTGTACACTGTCTCGCTCGCCATGCATAAAACGATGACTCGAGTAATTTTTATAAACATTTCACATCGATGTGTATTCAGCGTCAATGTGTGTTATGCTATCATACTGAAAGTCCATGCGGAGTGAATAACGCTCAGCACTTGACATATGTGTGATAATCCCGCCCTGTAAAATAATTTCCCCCCCATACTGTCGTGTGACCTGAAAGTTGCTGTGGGCTTGCAAAAGGATTACGTCGACTAAAAAAACGGTCAAGATTTTTAGAAATACTTGACGTACGAGCATACTAACTTAGCACTTTGGTGTTGTAAATACTCGACTACTGGACAGTGCGTTATCGCTCGCCATTACCACACGATTCTCCATTCTATTGCACATGGCTTTCGACTAAATCTCAATAAAGTTATCGTATATTTATCGTGCGTAAGATAGCATAACTCTCTATAACTCCAGACTTAAATACAGACTTTTGTTTGTTTTTTGGTGCTTTTCTCCATAAAATATAATATTATTTGGGTGTATAAATGGCAAAGGTCGGGTTGACCGCGAAACATCCAAGATACTTGTGACCCTTGTTTACGCCCTCTTGCGACACCAGTGATGATTGTCGCCGGTGTGAGGTTCGGTGCGTGATGCGTTTATTGAAGGGGGGGGGCAAGGGTTATTTTCGTTCAACGTAATTGCAATATTTTTTGTTCGTACTACGTAAATTGAAAAAATAAATTCCGTAATTCTGTAATCACAGGCTAGACGTACAACGTAATCGATCAAATATTTTTTTCGTACACGATAAAAATGTGTCATTTTTCTCGGTGCGTACAAGGATTTACATCCAAATAAAAAAAATCGTAAAGAATAATCCAGGGAAATTACATTATAGAAACTGTAAAACGACTAGATGACACAATTCACTACAAAATTGAATGTCAAGACGTAAAAGGCCCTCTAACCGAATGAAGAGCATTACGAGGGTAATATGCGCGTGCATCTCTACACACGGCTCAGCAATGGTGGAGAATTTGAACCGGAGAGCTCTTCGGACCATTCAATGTTCCTTTTTTTAACACTGTAAACAGTAAAAACGTCTTTTTTTCCTTGTAAATTGTAAAACGCCCTTTTTATTTCTCGTAAAACCGTACCAGCTACCCCCCTTGCCTCCCCTCTTTATTGACTAGCTAAATTACATTCCACCATCAAACGTTAAGGTAGAAATTGGGGTTTAATAAACATTCTTTTCGATGATTTATTAGTAGCCGCGCAATATTTTTTTAAGATTTCGTAATGATGGCATTGCCAGACAGCGTCAAAGGTGCCCTAGAAACACTAGTCTATACATCGCTTCAAGAATACCAATGAGAGGTCGTCGATGCGTACACTTCTGGTCGCAATGTTTTTGTGAGTGACCCCACCGGTAGCGGAAAGTCACCAACTTACCGAATTGCTTTTCTAGCTTGTTTCGCGATAACTCGGCTATCTCCATTTATACACTCACATAGCATTGATCAATCATTCTGGATTTTAAGGTCTCATGTGACTGATCCACAGTCAATGTCGCATGATCTTCTGTCATCTTGATTATATGCAAGAGTGGCGCCCTCCATGCTCACAAATCTTAAAAGCATTTGTTTTTACGAATACAAATAAATATTTTATCAATACAAATGGTGATAATATGAGATTCTTAATATAAATAGAAATGATGCTTCACGAATACAATTGGAGATATTACAAATACAGGGAAAGTTTATGAATATAATCTCAAAATAGTAAAAGTTTCTAACGAGTGTGCGTTGGGGAATTCTTGTTAATTTGTTTCAGTTCTAGGTTTCTGAGGAATTTGATCACTAGGACGGTGACATTTTACTAAAAGCCGGTTTCTCCCATACCTGTATACAACAAGTCATTGAAAATGACACAGTCCCCGTTAAGTTCTCTTTGTGCTTGTCATATTAAAGCGGAGGGGTTCTCGCGAGCGGGTCCTTGAAACTTGAGTTCCAAGTGGCGTATACAACAGATTGTTTATTTGCATCAAAACACGTGTTTCGTGCCATAGTAATATGGCCAAAATAAAAACAGCCGTTATTCAGCCATCTTTGATCTGATTATGAAACACACTGATATGTATGATGTATGTGCCAAATACGAATGAAAATGGTACATAAATTGTGCAAATATAGTAGTAAGGCCAAAAAGTCAGATGGCTGTCAATTGGCCATCCTTGACCAGATTTTGAAACAAATTGTCATGGACATGCATCCTAACATCTACGTCCAAGATACCGCATAAAAAACAAGATGCCTGCCAGTCGACCATCTTTGATCCAATTGCGAAATAAATCGTCATGGACATGTATCCTAACATGTATAATCTATGTACCAAGTTTGAATGACAACTGACAAAGCATGTCCAAAATACAACATATTCAAAAAACAAGATGGCTGCCAGTCGGCCATTTTGAATCGAATAGCTAAACCACTGCATGTGCATATGTCCCACATAGGGTATTAGACACATGCAAAGAATGAACGGAATCGTTCCACAGGATTCTGAAATATGACGTTGGATAGACTGACGCACGGACAGACAGACACACGGACGGACGGACTCAGGAACTCACGGACGGTCGGGGACATGTATCTTAACATGTATGATCTATGTACTAAATTTGAATGAAAACTGACAAAGCATGTCCAAAATACGACATTTTCAAAAAAACAAGATGGCTGCCAGTTGACCATCTTTGATCCAATTGTGAAATAAATCATCATGGACATGTATCCTAACATGTATAATCTATGTACCAATTTTGAATGAAAACTTACAAAGCATGTCCAAAATACAACATTTTCAAAAAACAAGATGGCTGCCAGTCGGCCATTTTGAATCGAATCGCTAAACCATTGCATGTGCATATGTTCCACATAAAGTACTAGGCACATGCAAAGAATGAACGGAATCGGTCCAAGGGATTCTGAGATATGACTCCGGACGGACGGACGCACGGACACACAGACGGACGCACGACCACACGGACGGACGCACGACCACACGGACGGACGGAGACCGAATTATAAGTCCCCGTTTTCGGACTTCGTCCGAACGGGGACTAATTAATAATATTTAATGTCATTCACTGGGAGAGAACCAATGTCTGCACTGACAGGTGTGCCAAATCGACATTTTCTTCTATCGACTGATTATTACATTATGCTCTGAACAAAATCTGTTCAGAAGAGATTGCACAATGCCAAAAACGATTTTCATCATTATTATTACAGAGGAATACATTCATGTCTTGTAGGAATTGTCACTGCACTGTCTTGAATACTTGAATCTGCAAAAAAACATCATTCTATTGCTCGAAGTGTCGTTTAAAACCCCGAAATCCTCGGTCAGTGAGATGTACACTCTAAGGGTCAGCATCTTACTCGAAGTAGAAGAACAGTCTTGTGGAATTTTGTACAATCAGAGTTCATCAAAAGGATTGAGGCAACACATCGCACTTACAACATTTAATAACAAGGGGGGGAGGGTCGAAGCATTTCCAGGGGTCAATATCCAGCCCAGGTGAACCAAATAGAAATTAATCGTCCAAGATATTTATTTGATTTTTTTATACTGAATAAAACACAATAAAATATATTTCTTGCAAATTATGTTCATACCAACACTGAATTCTTCTTCTAATTTGTTTAGAATAAATGTAATTTATCATCTTTGCTTCAGCTGTGGAACCACTCATTTGATAATTAAAAAAGTTTTAATGTCAAAACATTTTCATATTAGACTTAATCATCAGATTAAGATGCACAACTTATTTTTGAGTAAAAAATTTGAAATAACCAATCCAAAATATTGTTTTCTTTCATGACATGTGACCGCTTTCTCTTGAGCCAGCATGAGAGATTTGGCAATGAGAGTAATAATAGAAGTTGAAAATTCTGTTATGCTTTAAAATAATAACTAAGAGTTTAAATAAATATTTTCACCAGTATTTAACACATTTCTTAAAAAAATTAAAAATGGAAAATAGAGAAAATCACTATGCAATATGAAATCGAGAAATAATAATAAACATAATATATGCATATGACACATCAACATCCATAGTTCACTATGACTCACATAAACTCGGCTAATTTGTATTGGCTCCACTTTGATACTTAAACCACCTGATCTGGCACATCACATGGTCTGACTGCCACATCTTGATGACATGATATCATGGTATTGTGGCCCATCACATGACCATCCACCTGGCCATATAGATATTTTGAAACAGATCACACAATGCATGAGCCCTGGAATATCCAAGATGCAGGTGCTGACAGAAATCACAAAAGCTGCGAGTTGCATAAAAGTTTGATGCACGAGTTAATGAAATGATATATTAATACATATTTTTATAGACATTGACAATATGGTTCCATGCTTCAGCCACCATCACATGATGTCGTGTTTAATAACAGTTGTGCAACATACACAACATTTTATTTTACGCATGAATAACTGGGATGCTGTACGCAATGTTTTCCTTTTCGTAAAATATAAAATATTGTGTTAATGCTCAATTAGTTATGATACTTAAATAGATATACATATTTGTAAGACTGTACATGTCTATGGAAGTTGATGCAGGATGAATCTACACACTTTGACAGACTAAAAAGCATGTGGTTCACTTCACATTTCTCACAGTTTCATTAAGGATGCTGTAGACATTCGTTTGACACATGTTAATCAAGATGGATTGTATACTTTTTTTCATTGTAAAGTGGAACACGTACAAAATTGTGATCACAGTTAACAATCTTTTGTTGACCTAAATAAAGAACCAGAAGATTGGTATTGAAATATTGATTGTGCTGAAAATCAAATTTGTCACAGAAGATTTCATAACAATTTACTTAAACATTATATCAACTATCAATCTGATTGAAATCTGATGAAGGTATGAGGCTCCAATTTTTTTTATGTCCCTTTATATAATATTTATTAGTATTTTAGTTTGAATATGTTGATTTTTTGGTTTTTCTTGCCGTTAATCAGTTCTTAGAAAATCGTGTCCCAGTCGCCTCGAACTAGTTAGATTAACGGCAAGAAAAAACAAAAAAATCAATATATTCAAACAAAAATACAAATAAATATTATATAAAAGGTCATAAAAGGGTCATAAAAAAATTGATCAGCTATTTAACCATTGATATGCAAATTAGGAGGTATCCTCGTGCTATGCATACTATTAAAAATGTACCTGACATGATCCCTGACATGGCTCATTGCATTACCTTGATATATGGTACCATTACCACAAACAACTATCTTCATAATAAATCCTCAGATTTGTCTCTTGTATTATTTATACTAATTAAGCTAAATTCCATCCAATCATCTCTGCACTAATATTTCTCTGCATTGGTTATTTCATATATTAAAAATAACTTCTCTGTTTATACATAGTTATTATTTTGATATGTAAGTCAATTCGATTTGGATTTTCACAATATTTGAACAAGAGTTTCAAATAAATAAATATATAACTTAGTAGGTAAAAAGAAATATTTGTTGCCATAAACAAAGTATATACATATACAATACAATGCAGTCTATAGCATCCTTAATATAAACTAATAATAGTATAATTACAATTAATATAAAATGTGTTAAAAGCTTCATATATTAGGAAGCATATTCTCAGAGCTATCAACTAACTGAGGTATTTAATGAAGGAGAAGTAGAAATTAGTGTATCCATGACAACAGTTGATGTGCCAGCTAGAGATGGAAATAATCTTTTAAGTGCATCCCATGTACCAATAACAGTCCTACAGAAAAAAAGCAGAGTAAATAAAGTGAAGATCACACAATGCGGTATAATATAATAATGTGGTATACATAATCCAAAATAGACAATACAACATAATCTCTTTGCAATACTATATAATCTCTTTGTCTCAGGACAGATAATATCTATAATTAGGTGCAAAATGAAAGTTCAAACACCCAAGTTACTCACCCAACAACACCAACTGTTATAAGAAAATAGTCAAGAAAAAGTTGTTTCTTGTTTAGGGATCTGAAAATAAAAGTAGTATATCCAGAGGTCAAGCAAAGATAATAATTAATGTATTCACACAAAAAATAGAAAAACAAAGCAGTGTGGCATGTGAGATGTGTATATAAAGTTTGATTAAAATTTGATTGAATATGTCTAGAAATAGGTTAATTATTATGTAAATAGGTTAATTATTATGCAAAGATTCTCACCAATTATCTAATGTCTTATATAGATTATCCCAAAGTAATATGAACCAGCTTTCTCCAAGATTTGTTAAGTGATTTTTAAAATATTAGTAAGAAATATAAGAAATATGCACAAATTCTATTGAACAAAATCAATGCCCCAACTAGAGATGGTATATGTACAACAAGAAATATGGACTTTCTGAATTGGCAATATCATTCACAATATTCCATATTAGGCTTACCCATATCAAAGATACAATATTTAGAAGAACTGCTTTACATAGTACTGTTGTTTAGTAATTACTGCCAATTACAGTACACTATTATAGTTCCTCAGACAGAGTTTCTTTAGATGAATGATAAAAAAAACAGTCATCTATATATGGGTAAACAAAAAAAGCTTCCTTCTTGCATGGAGTCAATTGACCACTGCCATACATATCTGACTTAACACCCGTGAGCTGAGCAGAGACCAAACAGAAAAACTCAGAATTGGTTGACATGCAACTAGTGGAAGCACCCTTGAATAGCAAGGAGGCTCACCTCCATCTGAACTAGCTTTGCCTTCATCAGTCCCCTTGGAAACAGCTATTAGTGCTGACTCTGTCCAGGGGGTGACAGTGGAATGGAGTGTGATAACTATACTATATTACTGACTGACTAGAATTCATACCAGGGGTTGTTACAAACAAACAAGCAGTGCATTATGATTGGTAGGGTCTATGTTGAGATGTGTATGCCAGGTTCTATCCCAAGACTAATAGAGTGCAGAGGAAGCACATGGTCTATACTGAATTCACAAGATGGAACATTTTGGCTAGGCACATGTACAGGATGACAGACCTGTATGGAATTGTGCCAAACTGTATGATACTCGGTTTAACACAACATATACCCGTAATACAGGATTTGTGGGAACTGCTATCAACTTGTTGATAGAAATACGCTTTATAAGTATCTTACTTTGTAGTTCACAATATTTGTTGCTAAATAGCACGTAGGCTTGCGACATGACTACAACCACTCAACATCAAAGTGCACTAATGAAAGTCCAAAATAGAATTTTACACTCTGAGCTGTCTAGCATGGAAAAAAGGAAGAACCATGCATAGCCATGCATGCTTTCTAAAATCCTTGCATTTCTAGGTAACCAAGAGAGGTACCATTTAAAATTTCTGGTGTGGGCTAAAATTGAGGTGATTATAATCATATTTCTTAAACAATATCTAACTACTATCTAAATATTGGTAATAATTGGCTAGTGATGTTGTTAACAGGGGAAAATATCTGTCCCCACATCTATTTTCTTTCTTGTTACAATTGTTTTCTGATCATTTTCAAACTTATATATATTTCACTATGTGTGGGTGTGACATGTTCGGGACTACCGGTACTTTATTGCATGGTCAGAATACATACTTTTGTAATGGTGTTATATGTCACCTGATCACCCAAGTGTAATGATATGTAAAAAGTAGTGCCGTTGGTGTAACTGAAAATGGCGGTTAAGTCAAACTTGAAAGCTCTCTGGTTTCTTTGATGTTTCATGAGTTCCTGAGTCAACACATCACAGTGGGATATAACAAGTTAATATGCTAAAATACAAAACAGTAGACTCACCCTTTGAATATCCTCAGATGAAATATTGCCGGTAATATAAATGCTAATAAAGTACAACAACTAGCTCCTACTAATGCCATTAAGGTAGAAAAATTTGGTATTGCCAATACAACAAGGCCAGTTACAGTTACCATAATAAACCGTAATATATTCTGTGAATAGACATAATGAATAGATAAGAACACACATGTCAGTGACCAGTGTAAATGCATGTCAGTGATGAATGTAAACACATGTCAGTGACCAGTGTAAATGCATGTCAGTGATAAATGTAAACACATGTCAGTGATGAGTGTAAACGCATGTCAGTGATGAGTCTAAACGCATGTCATGATAAGTGTAAACACATGTCAGTGATGAGTGTAAATACGTGTCAATGATGAGTGTAAACACATGTCAGTGACGAGTGTAAACACATGTCAGTGATGAGTGTAAACACATGTCAGTGACGAGTGTAAACACATGTCAGTGACGAGTGTAAACACATGTCAGTGATGAGTCTAAACACATGTCAGTGACGAGTGTAAACGCATGTCAGTGATGAGTCTAAACACATGTCAGTGACGAGTGTAAACGCATGTCAGTGATGAGTGTAAACAGGTGTCAATGACGAGTGTAAACAGGTGTCAATGACGAGTGTAAACACATGTCAGTGACGAGTGTAAACACATGTCAGTGATGAGTGTAAACACATGTCAGTGACGAGTGTAAACACATGTCAGTGATGAGTCTAAACGCATGTCACGATAAGTGTAAACACATGTCAGTGACGAGTGTAAACGCATGTCAGTAATGAGTGTAAACAGGTGTCAATGATGAGTGTAAACACATGTCAGTGACGAGTGTAAAAACATGTCAGTGACGAGTGTAAACACATGTCAGTGACGAGTGTAAACACATGTCAGTGATGAGTCTAAACGCATGTCATGATAAGTGTAAACACATGTCAGTGACGAGTGTAAACACATGTCAGTGATGAGTCTAAACGCATGTCATGATAAGTGTAAACACATGTCAGTGACGAGTGTAAACGCATGTCAGTGATGAGTGTAAACAGGTGTTAATGATGAGTGTAAACACATGTCAGTGATGAGTGTAAACACATATCAGTGACGAGTGTAAACAAATGTCAGTGATGAGTCTAAATGCATGTCATGATAAGTGTAAACACATGTCAGTGACGAGTGTAAACATATGTCAGTGATGAGTCTAAACGCATGTCATGATAAGTGTAAACACATGTCAGTGATGAGTCTAAACATGTCAGTGACGAGTGTAAACATATGTCAGTGATGAGTCTAAACGCATGTCATGATAAGTGTAAACACATGTCAGTGATGAGTCTAAACGCATGTCATGATAAGTGTAAACGCATGTCAGTGACGAGTGTAAACGCATGTCAGTGACGAGTGTAAACATATGTCAGTGATGAGTGTAAACGTATGTCAGTGATGAGTCTAAACACATGTCATGATAAGTGTAAACATATGTCAGTGATGAGTCTAAACGCATGTCATGATAAGTGTAAACGCATGTCAGTGACGAGTGTAAACATATGTCAGTGATGAGTGTAAACATATGTCAGTGATGAGTCTAAACGCATGTCATGATAAGTGTAAACATATGTCAGTGATGAGTCTAAACGCATGTCATGATAAGTGTAAACATATGTCAGTGATGAGTCTAAACGCATGTCATGATAAGTGTAAATGCATGTCAGTGACGAGTGTAAACACATGTCAGTGACGAGTGTAAACATATGTCAGTGATGAGTCTAAACGCATGTCATGATAAGTGTAAACATATGTCAGTGATGAGTCTAAACGCATGTCATGATAAGTGTAAACATATGTCAGTGATGAGTCTAAACGCATGTCATGATAAGTGTAAACATATGTCAGTGATGAGTCTAAACGCATGTCATGATAAGTGTAAACGCATGTCATGATAAGTGTAAACATATGTCAGTGATGAGTCTAAACGCATGTCATGATAAGTGTAAACACATGTCAGTGATGAGTGTAAACATATGTCAGTGATGAGTCTAAACGCATGTCATGATAAGTGTAAACATATGTCAGTGATGAGTCTAAACGCATGTCATGATAAGTGTAAACATATGTCAGTGATGAGTCTAAACGCATGTCATGATAAGTGTAAACGCATGTCAGTGACGAGTCTAAACATATGTCAGTGATGAGTCTAAACGCATGTCATGATAAGTGTAAACACATGTCAGTGACGAGTGTAAACACATGTCAGTGACGAGTGTAAACATATGTCAGTGATGAGTCTAAACGCATGTCATGATAAGTGTAAACGCATGTCAGTGATAAGTGTAAACACTGTACTGAGCATAATACTTACCCCTTGTAAATAACTTTTATCTTTATTGTCAGGTAATAATCTTTTTTCAAGTAACTTAACAACAGGAAACATCATAACAGGATAGGTAAAATACAAAGAAAAACATAAACATGTTTTCACCAATATTGGAAACAGCCCTGGAATGAATACATAATATACAAGTTAAACCATGAATATCATATAATCAAAGAATACTTAGAAAGAACTCCTGTGTGCTGAGAGTATTGGAGACATATTAACCCAAAACTTATAAGGTTTGTGCATTGTCCTATAGCATCTATGGCATGATTATTACTTGAGACATCAGTGGAAAAGTCAAAAATAGACTAATCATTATGCAAATTAGGTAATTAATACACATGGATTTTTACCCCAAAGTAATCAGGTCTGCACATTGTCCCTGAACATCTATGTACCAGGTTTCATCAAAATGCAATGAGTGGTTCTTTGGATATCAGTAGAACAGTCATGGAACAGCTAAAATTATTAACTAATTATCATGCAAATTAAGTAATTAATATGCATTGTTTTTCAACCAAAACCTAATCAAATCTCAACATTAGCATCCATGCATGAAGTTCTATCAAAAACCAACATATAATTCCTGAGATATCAGTGGAACAGACAGACACACACACATATGTACAGACACACTAACTACAAAGACTCCCATTGTGTTCTTCGCACATGGGAGTCAAAAACACACAAGCTCAAAAAATGAACCGATCAGACTCATGATTGGTAGACGCAAGTTCAAATCCTACCTTAGGCTGAATATCAAAGGGTCGACCCCTACCCTGGGAGAGTGTGCCACAGACTCAATGGGAAGGCCAATTTCACTGGTCGAGATTCATTCACTAACGAATGCGACTTTGGGGGAATCTTGGTTAAGGTCTGCAGGTGCTTGTGTTTGACCAAGCCTGGTTGACGCTAGGATAGCGCATTAAATTGCCATTTGATAGGGAGATGACCGCACAGCCCTGTCATGTAGTCCCAAACATGAATATGACTTCTGTGGCAAAATACACTATGTCAGTACTAGCACTTGCAATTTGCACATACAAAAAAAAAAGAGTCAGGAGAGACAACAGTGACACTCAATGTCCAGAACTTTTGCCTGGCACAAAAATAATTTAAAAAAAACAAAAAAACAGTGGTGTCACATATCTGAGCAGAGCATACGTTTATGACAATTTAAGAGCTAATTTTGACAAATGTAATGCCCATCCTTCTGCTGGGACTTTCTCTATATAACTATAACAATAACTATACATCAGTCTGATATAAAGGTACTGTCAACACAAATAACCAAATCCTTTCATTTTGATAAATATTTAGAAATTTCAATGACAGGTAAACCTAACCACCCAATTAATGAGTACATTTTTATTCCATCAACCACTCAAAACCTCTCATTTAGGTTTGCACAATAAAATTCATATACATTTTCAAAAATGCAGAGAATGGGTTCAATGTTTTTCAAAAGTATTTTTTCCAGTTTATGATATTCATAATTGCATTTAATTTGAATTTTATACTAGCAGCTGTGATTGGAAAATGAACTTAATTTGGCATGTCACACTTTATACTCCCTTTCTAATGCTAAATAAAACAGTGGTACATGCAGCAATGAATAAAATGATGGTAACATCAGTATATGTCTGTTCACAATTTATTCTCATAAAAAATCCATATTATAGTGGATATGTCATCACAGATGCAGCTAATACGATTGTAATGAATATCCCTTATACCAGTATATGGTTTATATATAAATATTTTATTTTTCTTGAGGGCTATAGAGGAGATGAGTGTAAATTTACCATTTTTACACATTTGTAAGCATGTGCAGTCGATGCACAAACTTTAATCGTGCTGGCAGCAGTACTAACGTAACAACAAAACAAGCACACTTTAAACCTGCATTTTTCCTTAGAATCAAGTTCTCGCATATTAATGAGGTCATGTGACAACACTTTGATGTGCAGCATATAGTAAGTAAGTAAGTAAGTAATTTATTTATTATAGTGACCTGCAGCTCAGAGAACTGCCCAGCCCAGTGGACTTATAAGTCACCTTAAATAATAACGATTACATTCACAAATAAAGGTTATGAAAGAGAGCTTGAAATAATATATCAACAATACAATCGTGTAGTTCATAAAAATTCAGACGTACAACAAATTTCTTCTTTTGTAAAAGGCCTTTTCTATAAAAAGAGCAAGTTTTCTTATTGGCCCTGAAAATAAACAAACCAGTATTTGTTCCCGTGATATGCCAGTTATTTCATTAAGAATTGAATCTAGATACTCATGCCTCAATTCAGTGTATTGCTGACAGTCAAACAAAAAATGCATTTCGTCCTCAACGTTTGCATCACAAAATTTACAGATTCGTTCACTTACAGGCTCGTGTCTAAATCGCCCAGTCTCAATACGGAGAGGCAAAATGCCCATGCGCAGTTGAGCTAATAGTGACCTTTGACCCCGACTTAAATTTATTAGCACGTACTTTTCTG